GCGGTTCTAATAGCGTTCATTATTTCATTACGCTTTTGACGATTAACATCTTTAAGTTTCTGAGTTTCCTCATCTATTCTTTGTTGATGTTTCTCAACATCTTGTTTTAAGCCTTTAATCGAATCATTAATTTCTCTTTCTTCGTTCTATAAAAAAATATATTTACATCAATATACAAATCTAATTAAATTTTTTTGAATTCAATTATACATGCCTTTAGTTCATTTAATTGTCTCGTCTTATCTCTAATGAGAGAATTTAATTCATTTTTTCTCTCTTTCAAAGGATTGATAGAAAGATTTGTCAAATCATGATATTTTTGCTCCAAATCTAAGACAACTGTATTAATTTCATCAAATTCAGTCTAGAATGATCAAAAAGAAAAAAAAATAAGTAATTAAATAAACTGTAAAATCTATCAATATTTAATAAATATTTACTTCTTCCTCATCGAGTTTTGCTTGTAAATTTGGTAAACGTCTCATGGCTCGTTGTGAATTTCTCTCAGCCTCAATAACTTCTTGTTCTTTTTCCTCAACTTGAGCCCAAGCCATCTGATTCTTAAATGATGCGACGTTCAACTCAAGTTCACGAGCTTTTTGCATATCTTTATATCGCTCTTCTGCTTCCTTAGCTTCCTTGAGAAGCTCCGGCACAACTTCTTTCTTATATTTAATTATATTTTGTGTAGTTTCGATGCTTTCACGTATTAGCTCGTAATCTTCACTTAATTGGGTCAATTGCGTTCCTTTCATAAAAAACTTATTAAAAGGAAATCATTAGAGAAGTTATTATTTGTACTAATTATTTTCAGCGATAGGAAAATACCTTATATTTATCTTCAGCACTCGATGAATGTAAAAATTGACGAGCGGTATCCTGAGACAACACATTTATAGGGTTATCCACTTGTATAGCCATATGATCTAGAATGGCATTCAACTCTTCCCTCTTTTCAGAGACTGTCTTTTTTCCATCATGAGTTTTTATCTTGTATTTATTACTTCCATCACTAGAAATACGACGTTCAATAATAATCGAGTCGCCATATATATCTTGGTTAAAAGCATCTTCCCCACGATTTCGAAGTTTTATAGTAATTTGTGCAACACTACATAATATATAAATTAGTTTTATTCATGTAAATGTCAAGATAAAGTAATAAGATTAATAAATTACTTGGAGCCTTCACGAATAAGCGATTTTAAGTTTGAAGCACGGTTTGTCACATTAGCTTTTCCTCCAAGACAGACCGTAATTCCTGTTAAAATAGCACTTTTTCCACCTGAAAAAAAATTTTATTAGAAAAAAGAAAATCGAATCATTAATTTTGAGAATAATGGTAATAAAATACTCACTTCCATTGTGGCCGATGATGAAATTAATTTTAGGACCAAAAGGTACTTTGAGAAATTTATGGCACATAAAATTCACTAATTCAATTGATTCAATTACACCAGATTCTGCTGTAGCCTAAATACAAATAGTCATTTTTTTCCGAGATTTATATTTCATTTAAATTTATTGATAACCAAAGCAAATTAACATAAAATAAATAAAATTTTCACCCCAGTTGCACTCTTCTTTTTTAGTCTTGTATTTTCTATTCCTTCAGCAACAATTTCTTCGTTTTCAACTTCTTCATCCTCTTCTGAAATGTTATCAGGAAACGCGTTTATTTCTTCAGTTTGAGAGCGACGAGCGCGTTTTGAATGACTATGAACAACGGACCTAGATCTTGACCTAGTTTGACACTTTCGAAACAATAGTAAAGATTTAGTGTATTATCTTAAGGTAGAGTCATTTTCTATAAATTAAATGTTCGCTGTCTCAACTTGAAAATGTTTCAGCGGCTTTACTTGTATAAATGCTTATTAAACTTACTTGGCTGTTAGAAGCTTCTTCTGCTTCACTTTCTGACGATTCTGAACGTTGTCTTTTTGATGACATGGTAAATTTTTTTTTTTTTAAGATTAGAAAGCTGTAACGCAGACGCGTTAGGGAATCTTTAACCAGCCACTAATGAAGATGAGCAACGCGACTGATTGGTCAAAAATTGAATACAAAATTCTGTGAAACAGATTTCGATATTCTGAATTAGGGATGGGAAAATTAACGGTTAATTTTAACCACCGTTAATTAACATTTTTTTGTTATAATCTAATGCAATTTTTGATCATGTTTTTCCAATTAAATTCATTTTATTATTTTATAATAAATTAACCATTCCCTTAATATTTTATTAGTTAAATATCTAAAACTTGAATTTTAATCAATTTATTAATTTCATATTTTCGTATAGGCTAAAATATAATTTATAAAATATACTTGTAATTTTATATTAAAAATATTTTACTTAGTATAATGAAAATGGTAACAAATATTAAGTAGTAAAAATCTTATCAAAAAATTTTTACAAATGATAAATAAAATAAAAATTGAGTATAATAACTAGAAAACAGTTTCAGAAACCATTGTTAAATTCAAAATACAAGTGTAATGAAAGAGACCAATCACATATTAATTCAAATTTTAAGTGAGT